CCCCCCCCACAACCTGCCCTGATTTTTGTACAGGCTTCTAGGTCTCTTGGGAGTCTTGTTTTATATACAGTTCAGAGAGCTTCAAACCAAGGAGAGACTTTGCAGACTTCCTTTCTAATCCCTCCAGGGGTGGGGGGAAGCCCCCCCACCCCTCCCTCAATGTAAATCTTGTGTGCTGTAGTCCCCACTCCCCCCGCCCCCCGGGTTTGTGTACCTCGTGCTTGTACATTTCCGCGCTGTAGACGGTGTATGATCCTGTTCTTTCAATGTGTTCTCACTAGAGCAGCTGCCTCCTTTGATGTTAGGGGAAACCAGAAGAATAATAATGATTTTTAAAAGGAAAATCCTTCCCCGGCTTCTTCCGAGCAGGCAGGCGGGTGGAAGGGGTCGCCGTCACCAGTTCACCCCCAGGGCGTTCGCGGGTGTCAGGGCTATGCCGGGAGGTGGGGACAGGCGGGTGGAAGGGGTCGCCGTCACCAGTTCACCCCCGGGGCGTTCGCGGGCGTCAGGGCTGGGCTGGGGGGTGGGGACAGGTGGGTGGAAGGGGGTGCTGTCACCAGTTCACCCCCGGGGCGTTCGTGGGCATCAGGGCTGGGTCGGGGGGTGGGGACAGGTGGGTGGAAGGGGTGCTGTCACCAGTTCACCCCCGGGGCGTTTGCAGGCGTCAGGGCTGGGGACAGGCAGGTGGAAGGGGGCACCGTCACCAGTTCACAGCCGGGGCGTTCGCGGGGGGTGGGGACAGGCAGTAGGGCGTGGTTGCCCGGCACTCTGCAGAGGGAGGGGTGATGGTCGCCCACGACCCTGCAGTGGGGCAGCTCTGTGTGGCCAGGTGAATTACTGGGTGCCCAGCCGGGATGGGCTCAGGGCAGATCAGCTGCAGCAGGGCCGGTTGAGCCTGGGGGGCGGCGGGTGGGGGGCGGGCTGTCGGAAATGGGTACGGGCGTGGGGTGGATGTTCTCTGCTCCCACCCCTCCCCGACAGAGCGTGGTGGAGCAGGTGCCATCAAGGGGTGCCCTGCGGGGCAGGGCTGGGGAGCGCGGCAGCAGCAGGTCTCTAAAGCCCCAGGGGCCCCCATGCCCTGGTGCCAGCCGCTGCCTGCAGGCTGGTTTCAGGCCCCAGCTCCGGGCTGGGAGAAGGAGACGGTGAATTTCCCAGCCCAACCTGCAGTGTTTGGCTCCCAGTGACCACCAGGGGGCGCTTCTGCACCACACCAGGGGGCAGTGCCCCCATCCCCGTTCTCAGGTCACCCAGACGGGGAGCGGCCCCTGTGGGTCCCTCAATTTGCCCGCTCTGGGGATGGGGGCTCAGCGTAGGTTCCATCTCCTGCCCCCTTGGGCTGCTCTCCCGGGTCGCTTCCCGCCCTCTGGGGGCCTAGAACCGGCGGCGGGGGACAGACGGGCCCTGGCTCCTCCTCTGCATCCCCAGCCCGAATCCGTTGCTGTCCCGAGCCGGGGACCGGTCTGAGCCCCGCGGGGAGCCCCATCGATTCTGCTTGTAAGGCCCAGGGGAAAGCGCCGCCCCACGCATTGGAACTGTGCCCTGCGGGGGCAGCACCATCCCTCCGCCATCCTCCCCCGTCCGATGGCCCAGACCAGCTCTCTGGGGGGCGTCCTTGGAAAAACCCCGCCCCCCGCCCCCCCCGGTGTGTGTCCCCACCGAGCTGCCCGGCTAGCGCCTCTGCCTGGGGCCGGTTCCCGTGGCCTGCAGGAGGCTGTGTGAGGAGCAGGAGCCTGGACGCTCGGGGGGGCCTCTCGAGGCCTCTCGGCTAAGATGGAGCGAGGGGGGGGGGTCTGTCACCTCCCCATTGCTGTGGTTTGGCATGAAATGGTGACGCTGTCCCCCGCATCACCCCCTGGGCATCATAATGTGCCCCTGTCCTGCCCCCTGCCTCATCCCTGGGCAGCTGTAATATGTCCCCCGCATCACCCCCTGGGCATCATAATGTGCCCCCCGCCCTGCCCCGCCTCACCCCCTGGGCACTGTAGTGTGCCCCCGCCCTGCCCAGCATCACCCCCTGGGCATCATAATGTGCCCCCGCCCTGCCCCCTGCCTCAGCCCTGGGCAGCCTTAATGTGCCCCCGCCCTGCCCCGCCTCACCCCCTGGCAGCCGTAATGTGCCCCCCGCCTCACCCCCTGGGCACTGTAATGTGCCCCCGCCCTGCCGCATCACCCCGGGCACACCCTAATCCTGCCTTTTTTTCTTTTCTTTTTTTGGCCTGGTTTGTGCCATTTTGGGGTCATGTACGGTACCAATAAAAACGACTTTTTGGTTTGACGCTGTCCTGGGCTGTTCTTTCCGAAAGCCGCTCAGGCCCGGAGGCAGGTGTCCCCAGCAGACCCTGCTCTGTGGCCTGCCCGGGGTGGCACATCCCCCTTAGCGGGGTTACCCTGCCCCCAGCACTGCTGAGCAGTAGCCAGACGTCCCGGCCTCGTTGACTTCAGCCCAGTTTGCACATTGACTCCAGCCAAGGGCCTGGCCCCGCACGTGGGATTAGGAAGCAGCATTTTCCTCTCGGGCTCCTGTTCTCCACCCAGGCAGGCAGCCCCCGAAATGCATTGCCTGGTGCCTTGCTACTCCCACCCATCCCCTCCACGTGGCCCCATCGCCTGGAGCGCTCTCCTGCTGTGCGTAGCCCCCTGAAGCTGCAGCCAGGCCCTGCGGCTCCTCTGCACCAGCTCGACCCCATTTCCCGCAGGGGGACCGTCCGCTGGGATTCCCCCAGCTCTGGGGGCGCGTGGGGCTGCAGCCTGGAGGGGGGCTGGGCTGCCCAGCGCCGCCTGCAGCGCGGTTACCACGTTCCCTGGAGACTCGCCAAGCTGCCGGCGTCTGGCTCCAGCAGGGACATGGCAGCACCAGCTTGTGCCTAGGGAGCGGCTTGGCCTCGCGTTCTGCCCCAGCCTCCTGCTGTGGCCACGGCCCGGGGCAGGCACAGTGTGGGGGGACCGGTGGCCATGACGGGCCGGGAGCCTCAGCCCCAGGGAGGGTGGTGTCTCGGCACGGGCTGTTGGGGAAGCTCACTCGGGCTGTGCCAGCGCGGCTGCAGCTAGACCAGCAGCTCCCCCCCAGCGAAAGCCCAGTTTTGCCGGTGTAAGTGGCACCTGCCGGCCGCGCTATTCGGGGATCACAGCCCAGCACAGCCGCGCTGCAGCATCCGTCCGGCAGCGCCAGGCATGACAAATAGCCCCTTGAGAACCCAAATCCCGGAGCCGAGGGTCTGTGTCTGCGCCGGCCCCAGAGCCGTCGGGGTGTTGTGCTGAGCCAGCCCTTCGCCTTCGCTGGGCCGCTCCAGCACTTCCTGCAGCTGCAGAACGGGGGTTGGGTGAACCCCGAGACTGGCACCTCTCCCCCTCTGCGCTGCAATCCCCCAGCCACCCACAGGGAGCGCCAGTGGGCACGTGCCAGTGGCTGCTTCGCTTGCCGGCTTCATCGTTACGGGCAGCAGCTTTTTGAGGTTTGTGTCTCTATGTAACACCAGCGATTGCAGACCATCCTCGCTCCTGGGGTGCCCCACCGCCCAGACCCTGCCGCCGTGCAGGGCTGATGCTCGCTGCCCTCCACCTGTAGGTTTGCGGGGTGCCTTGGGCCAGGAGGGCCCCCCATCTCCGGGCAGATGGGACAGCTCAGCCTTCCCACTGCGGGCAGATAGAGCAGGTTTTTGGCTTGGGGCCTGCACAGCTGGCCAGTGGGAGTGCGGCCTGTCTCAGCCAGGTGCCAGGATGCGCGGGCACTGCCCATCGTGGAGTTCAGCTGGTGCAGACCCTCTCCCCACGGTCAGCCCTGGTGCCCGCCGCAGACCAGCTGGCAGCCTGACCTTCGGGCACGTGGCTGCAGGAGACCAGACTTCACGTCCAGCAGCGGGTAACTGGCAGGAGAGCCCTGCGACTGCCCAGAGCAGATGCTGGTGAAGGCAGGGCCGTATCTACAAGGAAGGGCCTTCCTGGAATCTGAGGGGGAGGGGAGGGAGTGAATGGGGAGCCAGCACCATGGGGGGTTGCCCGGGAGAACTGTCTGCAGCCGCACAAGCCCCGACCTGCTGCAAACCGGGACAGGCAGAGGGGTTGGCACGTCTGGCTGGGCCCGGGGATGGGCCGGGCACGTGGGGTGGGGCACATGGAGTCGAATCCACCCAACTGCCTGCAGGAGCGGAGCTAGCAGCAGCCAGGCAGGCGGACTACTGCAGACCGGCCCTGAGCAGGAGCGGGCACCTGGGTACGATCTGATGGGGACAGGGCCCCTCCACGCTGGGAAGGAACAAACAGGCCTGGGCCTGCCCAGCCTGGCTCCCAGCGGAGCAGGAGGCTGCCCCACCCCTGGGTTTCCAGCTTCCACCCGCCTTGTGCCGAGAACGGTGATCGCGGTGCGTGCCGGGAAACGCGCCCGCCCAGGAGCCAGCGCGGCAGGCAGGCTGCTCCGCCGAGGGGCTTGGGCCTGCTCCCGGCCCATGCGGCTGCTGGCTCCCGTGCCTGGCTGCCCTGAACCCACGCCCCTCTGCAGAGCCGCCCGCCTGGGTGAGGGTTAGCGGTGCCCGCGGCCCAGCACATCCACTTCTTGGAGCATTTGCTCACATCCATTCCATGTTAGGTGTGCGCTCGCCGCATGCACCGGGGCCGGACGTAGGGGACCGGCTCTGGCGCCCTCTGGAGTGACGTGTGGATGCGCCGGTGTAAGGAGCTGTCACAGAGAGTGGGGGAGTCAGGGCCCTGCACCCCCGGCTTCCTGCCATTCACCATGACTCTCAGCCAGCCAGTAAAGCAGCAGGTTTATTTAGACGACAGGAACACAGCCCAAGACAGGTCTTGCAGGTACAGACAACATGATCCCCCCCAATTAGGTCCATCTTGGGGTCCCAGGGGCACCACAGCCCCACTGGGGGGTCAGAGCCCTGTCTGGGCT